CTTCTGCAGGCACAGAGCAGGTGGATGATTGAGTTCATCCCACACAAGTTTGCAGAGGGAGGGCCAAGGGAAGTCAAGTTATGCAGGAGAGAGTTTACAGTAATTAAGTATAGCATCTTAACTGGGTAAACAGAGATACAGGGGCTTCTCAGGGGTGATGCTGTAAAACATTTTTTGTAGAATCAGTGGACTGGAAGACCTTATCCCATCTGAAGGAACCTTCTATTAGGGATCTTTGAAAGATGAAGTGGAAGGAGAGAATAAAATAAAAAGAGAATGGAACACCAGAAAAAGCAATTTGGACAATAGCATAATTATTGGTAATGGTGAGGTTTAGAGCCAGTCTATTCAATGGAATAGCCACTAGCCAAATACAGTTATTTAAACTTAAATCCATTTAAATTAAATTAAAATAAAAAATTCAGTTCTTTAGTTGCACCAGGCCCATTTCAAGTGCTCCACAGCCATGTATGGCTAGTGGCTATCACAGTGGACAGCAAGCATACAGAACATCTCCATCATTATAGAAATTAGTATTGAGTAGCACTGCTTTAGCATGACCATGGGAGTGAGAATGGAGACAAGAGTAGGGTTGAGGGTAAATATGAGTGGGAGCCCTGTTTGTTGCACATCTGTCGGGGGGTGTTCTGGTCAGGGAATTGTGGAGATGGAATTAAAGGGCCATGAAGTCCTCTTTTCTACCTGTCCCTAGGGGCATCACCTGCTCATCAGCATGTCCAGTGACACCTGACACTAAGGCCGGCCTCCCGTCCTTCACGTGGGGCTGCACCGCCCTGCTCCCAGCAAGTCAGCTACACATTGGCCTTTTCACTAGGTGATTGCCAAGGACCCGTTGTCTGAGGCATCTGAGACGGCAGCCAATCCCCAACCCCAGGCTGACAGGGAAGCGCCTCAGGGTCTGTTGTCATGTGCAGAGGTACCCAGAGCCTCCAGGAAGATGCAGCTCACCTGTCTCTCAGGTCCCCAGTGAGAAGAAAGGAATGGGGCTGGGATCGGAACTGGGACTTGTGGCTCTTTCATGTGTCAAGGTAGAATAAGATCTCAGTTATTTTTGACAACTAAGTAGCACGTGGACCTTGTCATTCCAGAGCAGGGTCCATGGGCACAAGGGGAAAAACCTCACTGAAGTTCTCTCGCAGAGAGGAGAGGAGGCAGCATGGCTTAAGTCCTCAAATTTCCATTAGGTTGGGGGAGAGGATGAGACATATAAGATCAGGTTAGAGCTTTACTGGGTCGGGAGACACAGTGCCCCTTCTTGCCCTCCCTCAGGGGTTGATGATCTCAATGTGGAACTGCAGGTGAGTGGCTGTGACCACACAGTGGCCCCTGAGGAGAGCACAGGTCTGGCAGTTGTGGCATTGCCAGTGGCACTGGATGATGTAGATGGCGTTGAGCACCTGGCAGTATCGCCAGTGGACGCGCCACATACGGACCAAAGACTGGAGCTTGACCACCGCCCTCTCGGCGTGTGCGTAGGTGATCAGGGCTGCCCTCCGCTTCTTCTGCAGCTGCCTGTCCAGTGTCATTCTCCACCAGCACTGAATGACCCAGGCCCTGAGGGCCGCATGCAACAAGGTCCGGCGCACCAGGGTGCCTCGCCACCAGGCCTGGATCTTCGTGGCTGCTTTTATTCTCTCTTTTAAAGCTTTCTAGGCAGAGATAAGAGAGACCACTCAGGGAACTGCCTGCCACCAACTTCTAGGATATTGCTGGAAAGGGCCTGGATTCTCTTTAACAGTCAGCCCTTCCTTGGAGAGTTCAGGGGAGTTAGCCGGACACTGCCTAAGAGGCAGAAGTCGTGGGTGGTGAGTCCTCCTCTGTCAATATGGACACATCACCTTGCCCTGAGTCACAGCATCCTCCTCTTGAGTAGCTCACAGGTGCGTGAATCAAGGGAAAAACCATTAGGAACTAGGAGGGTGCAGTACGAATCTCAGGGACTTGGTTAGTCACTCTCTACCTCTTCGGTATTTATTGGGTTTAGGAAGTTTGGCCTCAATGCTTTTGCCTGATATTCTCTGCTAATTCTAACCCCATTGGCTGATTTCTTTGTGCCACAACAATGTATTTCAATCTGGCAGTAGATTTTTTAACACCTTCATCACATCCTGTGCCCCTAACCTTCCCATAATTTTTTTTTTAATGGGGCTACTGAGGATTGAACCCAGGACCTCATGCATGGTAAGCAGTGCTCTACCCTGAGCTCTACCCTCCCACCCTCACCCTCCCGTACTCCCAGCTTTCCCATATTGTGAACTTCCTGCTCTTCCATTCAGAGTCCTCACATTCTCATCTGTTCAGGCATGTCTTGATGGCTTTCACTCTTTCCAAAACCCAGACCCAGAGAACCCATGCTGGGAAGGGAGTGGAGGATAAATAAGCCAATATTGAGTTGACTTCCGATTATTTTAAACTCTGGAGCCACAAGAGGCATGATTCCACACCCTTGTGACAGACAGGAATGTTCTGGATGTCTGTGAACTATGTGGAGATTTTACCTACCTTTTTTTTGGACAGCTGCCTCTGCTTCTTCATCTTCCATGCAGTTATTTCTTCCGAATCCTCAATTACAATTAAAATTAAATGGCCATCTTTCTGTTATCAGAATTAAACAGGAAATGAATGGATGAGCTAAGACTGCTGTTTGTCTGTAGGCTGTACACAGAGATGCCCACGGCCTCAGCATCCCCTCTTTTCCCCAAACCTGTGATGTCCGGGTGATCCCCACCCACCCTGGGCCTGCCAGGTGGATCTGGCCATGTCTCTTACACAAAATCGAATCCCCATGGCGCCTGTCTCTAGATGGTTCTTTAGCTTTGATTTGTCTACTTCCCAAGGTCTGGCATGAGTAATATGAGGGAAGGAGCTATGACTTAACAATCGGTTTATGACATGAGGATTAGGATATTTGACACATAAGTGAGTCTTCCTCAGAAACAAGCTCCATGGGACTTGGTCTCCCTGTTCAGGTCCCTTCTGTCAGAGATGTACCAGCGCTCAGAGTGGAGGGATTGGGCACCTAAGTGCCATTGTGTACCAAGGCTCTCCTCCAGGGAGGCCTGACCACGTCCTTTCTCATTCTCAGTCACCCGGGAGAGCAGG